TTTCATCTTATAAAATACTTGATTTGCAAATTCGCAATTAAAATAATATATGACACAAGACTATGATGCATGAAACGTTAGGTCATCTAATTTAAATGTATTTATTCACTTGACACAATTAAAAGACAACCGCATTGCATAATTAGAAATTTCAAAGAGAATATTCATATATCCTTCATTATATTTGATTGTCTAGCTAGAAACATTTTTGAGCCATAATAAGAGAAACAGGCTTGGATGTAAACATACTATCATCTAACTGCTCATATTAATAGCCGTAAAACTAATGATAACTTTTTTACAATACTGTTTAAATCTAATTCAAGCTTTTTGAGGGTACAATATTCTTTGTATCAACTGGTTGAAGATAGCAAATTGAATTATATTTCATTACAGATATTCGAAATAAGCTTAAAAAAATTATTCAAAAAAATTTGCCATTTATGTATTATCATTTGTGGCTTAATAAATTTTTGATAAAATTATGTTATGCCTCGAATATATGGCCTGCTATAGGACTTAATGGAAATATAAAAATTAGCACAAGTACATAACCACCGCAACTTATTCCAAACATTAGGTGACTATATATATATTGTCAATCAACTTAATTAAATCTTTTCAATAAACAAAGCTGAGATAATTTTAACAGTTATATTGCTCAATCATGGTCATGAGCCGCCAAATGGAAACATTGCAGTAATTGAATACCCAAATGCCAAACTATTTGATGTTTATGGATATAGATAATCCATCATATTTTCTGTTAAAATTGTTTCCATGCCAGTGATCCATAAAAAGAATCCACCAATGTCTTACTCAAACTTGTAATCAAATGCAGAATTTCAAACTGAGAATTGCTCTAAACCCATTATTGTCTGCTGAATAATTCAAACTCGAAATAGTTTTGCGTCCACGATGTTTTAACAAAATTATATGACACATTTACCTTTTAGTATTAGATATGAATTTTTCAGAGGCTTTATGAGTGGTAACAGCTATCCATTGAACTTAAACATGAACTAGAAACTGTCTATCTTTGTTTAATTATATTAAAATCCATAGTTTTCATCTTCCATCCCTGGAGATGCAAATTAAATGCAAGAGAACATAACATGTAAAATATTTTTCTTCACTATTTCAAAAAAGCAAATTAAAAATGCGTAGAAGAATAACTACAAAAAAAAAGAAAAAAAAATACAAAAACTTAATTGAACAAAAGCAGACATGCATGATGACTGGTGATGATATTAAAATACATTTCTAAACTTTCATTTCCTGTCCCTTCAAAGTGCATAATTAAATGCAAGAAAACAGGTACAATATTTCTTTACTATTTAGCAAAGCTAACGAAATGATATCCACAGGAATGGCAAAAAAAAAACTAAATTGAACAAAAGCAGACAAGCGTGACTTCGATGAAACTGTCTGTTGTGGCAAGAATCCAAGTAATTGATTAATCAGGACGGAAACTATAGAACATTGGAAGTATTTGTTTATTATTGTATGTCGCTAATGTAAAAACTTATTATTTAGAGACAACACATAATATAGACATAACTTAGAATAGAAAATTCCCAGACAAGCCGCTACCGGGATTTTGGCAGTTAATAGACTATCCAAGTTCCAAAATTACTTGCTTAGATACAAAATTGCTGATAAGTAATTACCAGTACCTGCTGGAATTGCCGTAAAGTGCTAATGCAATTTTGCCCATGCTATTTAAAATTCAGGTGCCGATCCTGCAATTATCAAATTTTTCATAGAATGACATAAATTCATAAATACTAAATATCTTGTTATTTGTGACTCATAAATTTTTCGATTGCTTATCTCAATTACTCAATTAGGAATCAAGATCATCTCAAAGTAAGCTTGAAATAGGTAAAAACCACGACTTCTTTCCCATTTTTTTACTTTAATTTTCTTCTTGTTAACACTACTCAAACTAGGGATCATTATTAACCTTGCAGTACGAACTTTGTAGGCCTATGAAGAGAATAATCTCAGAATATTTTCAAATAGTTGAACATACATAACCATTCATTTCTATAACTACACTAAACACTGATTGTACACGAGTCTTCAGGTTTCTATGGCAATGAGATGCATCTACATATCCTTACATACGCAAATAGTCCACTGTGTAACTTTAGTACGAGCTGAACCTACCTACCTAGATTGTAAAACACCTTGAACAAAGATCAGCACCAAAGAGTCAACAAAAGTCACCATAAATACAAACATAGTTAAACTGCTTTCACCTTCAGTTGCCAAGAAAAAGGTACAAAATTGGTAAGACTAGTTATAGGTGATTTATATCCATTGGTCTATTCAAGAGTAGGATTACCTAGGGAACCATAAAGCACTTTTCTGTGGAGCTTTTAATTCAGACGAGTCATGTTCAGGGAGGTCCAAATTAAAAACAAGAAGAGTTAATAAAAGTTTAGTTAAAATATTTCTTCTTTGTGAAAGAATACAGACAACAAGTTTATTAATAACCGATGCAAGTTCAACATATAATCTCACAATCATAACTTGCAGCATGGAATAGCTGAAAGTGCAATATTACACATTATTGATGCAAAACATACAACCTCATCAAGCAATCTCGTACATCTCAAAAACAAACAAAATTCACGTCCTAGACATGCTTTGTATTACACATCTCACATCCTTAATTTTACATCTGTAACCTCATGTCTGGTTCATAATATACTGTAGTAGGAATAATTTCACGATAATGTTAGAGAATTTCAAATTATGTAACTGAAATATTTACGCATATGGTCGAGCTTCCCATATAGTTTCTTAACTACTACATTTACCAAATGGTCAAGCATATAAAGAACATAATTACTTACATTATATAATAAGTCACTAGCGAGCAATTCATCATTACCATTTTAAAAGTGTATCTTAAATAAAACCAAGCTTCGAGATAACGACAACTATTTATGATGCTAAAAACAAATGCCATAACTGCTAATGTCCACAAGACCTAAATACCCATGTCTAACATACAGGTATTCCCATATTATTTGCTTTTTGATGATTTGCATGTCAGAAAATTAAGAAACTCAAAATTGTGCAATTAACTTGCTTTGGAATACAGTAATAAAAGATGACGTGCTTTGCCTGATAACATACAGTGTCACATGTCCTAATGAACATGATTAAATAAAAACTTGAATAATCTTAGAAAATAAACTCAGTCTTTCATATAAATAAGATATTATGCCAACTCACCCACATCTTTCTAAATACTATGGTTGACGGCTACTGGTTTAGACTATTAGTTGAAAATTTGGTTTCTGTTATTCACTGCAACCCAAAGATGGTATTTCAATTTCCCCATAACCTTAGCTGTGCAGCAGACCATTTAGAACCTAGCTGGGAGAACAAAATTTGGATTTTACAATAACAGACAACAAATATCTTAATTCTTGAGTAAACATTTAATCAGCCTTGTTAGGTGAATTCATCTTGGTATTAGATAGTATAGATTACCAATAATTACAATACCATCTACAAATATTAGGATATAAATTATTGATGCCATGTTTTATGCTGCTAATGGACTAGTGGGGAGAAGTTTCTAAAGAGAACTATAATACAATAGGCTACAACAGTGGTTCCCAAACTTTGAAAAAAAATTTCCATGACGGACCCCTTTCAATTTTTTTAATGATTCCGCGGCCTTGTGCACTAAAATGAAACAATAAAAGATCTCAACAAAAAATTAGTGCGCCGTATGGTATAGTGAAAAACACCTCTTCCCTACATGCTCTTACCAACACTTCTGCGGTCAGTTGGCTTGTAATGGCATCAATTGAACTCTCTCTGTGATATCACAGGCTCGCAGCTCTGTGACATCACAATGGGGCATCGTGTTCGAAACAGAAAGTGCAGAATCAGTGACCAGTGTCCCCAGAAGTGATTGCAAAAGAGACAAATGCGTATTTGCAAATTTAAGCATTCAGTATTGTATTATCAAACTATATGACATATAATGGATTTCTTTCACTGACCCTTCGAAGGTGCTTCACCGACCCCAAAAGGACCCTGGTTTGGAAACCACTGGGCTGCAAGATCAAATGCAGCCAATGAACAACGAGCAGATGAAACAATTTAGGGACTGCAGCGTCCTCTGTTGTATAATGAATGATACTGCTACATATTTCACTACAGAGAAAACCGCATGTTTGTGAGTTAGGAACAAAATTAATTAGCATTGTCGAGAGCTTATTAAGCTTTAGTTATGGGAGTAAGCAATTGTACATTAAATCTCATTCTTCGAAAGCCCTCTCCAAGAAAAACAGAAATGAGAGATGTTTTTCCAGAAAATGAAAGTAACTGCCTTTGAAACAATAGCCGCTATCATATTTGTACTGCTTACAGCGACTCAAAAGCATGCTCAAACAAATTTGAGAGTTACTCAAATCTAGATACCCTCTACAAAAATTGGATTTTATTCACATATATGATATAAGTAATACCAAGTTTATATGTACCGCCACCGGTATATCTTTCTATTTGAGGATTGGTGAAAATCAGCAAAATAAGTAAAAATTTTTTATTGAGTATACTCAATAGAAACATTTTATAGGTGCTGGTTCAAACTGTGATTAACCACAATCGGAAAATGTAATTTCAACAAACATCAAATGTCATAAACAAATAAAATTACATTTGCTGCATGACCACAATATCAGCACATAGGCACCATTTGATTAAAACTGCATTTGTTAAAATGCATAGTATCTACCAACATTGACCCATATAGAGCAGGATAACAGTATAGTTTCATATTTTAGCATACTAACCAAATAAAACCTTTACTTATACAGCATCTTTTCAGAAGGCCAGTTCCTTACAACTATTTATTTATTGAAGCATCACCGACTAGTCATTGAATACACTCAATTTTCTCACTGCTCTTATTTCAATGTAGTCATAAATTAACAATTATGTTATTCCTCACACTGAAATTTACTTACTGTTGAAAGTTGAGTTTCACTCGATGATCTTGTGAGTTGAGCGGAAACATACTCTCTATGAACAGTGAGGTTCAGTACACCGATACAAGTGTTATCCTGATACCTGAAATAGTGTAAAAAGAATTAGATAAATTAAAATAATTATTTTTGAACTGTGCCATGGTACAAAAAATTATGGTATCCCCGAAGTATGTGAACCAAGATGGCACACACCGGAACGTAGTACGTTTACCAGTTTAGGGTTAGGCCATAATTTTATTCCAATTTTCCCTATTTTAGTTAGGGGACTAGCCAAGTGACTCACTTAGTATTTTACCTGGAATTATGGCCTAACCATAACCTGGTATACATACTACGTTCCGATGTCCGCCATCTTGGTTCACATACTTCGGGAGTACCAAAATTACAATATACAAGATAAACACACAAGATGGAAATCCAGGAAAGTTGCCATAACAAATTGAAATTTAAAACACGAGACACAGAGGCACTGCACATAAGCCCCTAGTCATAGTGAATCGGAGAATTTGGAAGGAGAATTGTAAGGGGGTAGGGGGTGAATTTAGGGGTGCAGTAAGATGTAGAGTGCTGTTATGAGGGAACCTTGTTTAAAAATTTGAAAAACACTGGCATAGGCAATCTCACTCATAAGGTGCAAATTTACCTATATTGAATCAAATATAGAACATGCAATTATATTTTGAGCCTCAACTAATGGTTCCCAAACAGGGATAGCCAAAATCTGAATAATTCACTATTTCAAATGAATTACAAAATATTATTATTGATTATGAGCTTCTATTTATTAGCACTTAATGCAGCTTATACAGATGATATTGCTAATATGGCTTATTTCTGAGATAACAACTCTCGATAACTGAGGGTTCGTGTAGAATGAATAAAAAAACAAGATTATAAAAACCCAGTGCTTTTGGAGCAAGATCAAAAGTACATGTCCTGTAATGAAGGTGGAAATAATTAACAGATTCCAAATCAATAAAAGAGTGTGAATGCTTATCATTTATTGGCTCTTTGGTGACATCTACTGTCTGCTTTACATACAGGTTGACCAAAAAAACAAAACCCAGGTCATTTGGAAATAATAATAGAGAGGACATAACTTTTGTGCAAAAGTTTCTAGATTACTGGAACTTTAAGGTACAAGCGTACAAAAACAGAAGTTCAAGTGTTGAATGAATTTCTGTCATTTTCGTAGATATAATTTAGAAATTTGTGGGTTCATTTTTTTGGGTCACCTTGTGTATAATTTGAGCCTGAAAAATTAATTGATATATATAATTGAATATAACAATAGTTCAAATTAATAAAATATTTCAAGAATTTCCAAAATCACTAGTTAACTGTGAATTGATACCACATAACTCTTGCAATCGAATAAAGAAACAAGAGATTGATGCTCAAATATATGAACAGTACGTACAAGTACAAGCATGCCAGTGATCATAACAAATGCGATCTCGGAACCGCCACAAGGTCATTGCAGAGAAAAAACAAATGCGATCTCGGAACCGCCACAAGGTCATTGCAGAGAAAAAACAAATCCCAATGAACCCACTGAAATTTTTGAAATAAATAAAAGCTTTAGCAAAAAATACGATCTTCTTATCCACTGAAACTTTTACTGCAATTGGTCCAGTAGTTAAGGAAAAAAACGATATTTTCATAATGATGAGAAGAAAAATCCCAACAAGAACAACAACATAATAACAAGACGATCCATATGTATGTTTCGTGTCCAACAGTAGAAGGTGATTTCCACCAGGCTTATTCATAGAAAAAATGCATAGCTAGTAAGAAGGAAACAACATACATTTTGGCAATGCTCCAAGTTTCTGTACCAGATTGATAAATAGAAATGCGAGTGATGATTCGGAACTAAACAATGTTGAAGTATGATACAATTACTGTACATAAAAAAAATCTATTTGAAGCAGCAGTTCTACCTAAATGATTCAATCATCTTGATGCACAATGACACAAATTCCCGTAGTATGTGTACCAGGTTAGGGCATAATCTTATTACAATTTTTCATACTGGTATTTTATTTGGAGTATGAGTTCGGGGACTGTCTGTGTTGGCCAAGTGAATATACCCCCTGCCCATACGTTTAAATGCCTTTACACAACTTGATGTAAAATAGGCAAACAAAATTAGTTACCTCCATATTGGTACACATACTTCTGGAGCGCCCACAAATGAACTTTAAATGAACAGTTTGGCCATAGATAAATAATGCTTGTTTGAAATTACTTTGGTCAGACGAAACCTCACAGAAACACATTCCTGTCAGTGTGCGACAAGACTAGATTTATATTGAATTTTAACTCTTGCTGTGACATCCTTGTATTATACCAGTGGTTCTCAGACAGTGGGGCACGCCACACAGGGGGGTGTAGACAATTTTCTTGCCCACCTTATTTTGGATATTAAAATTTCAATACTTCAATACTAAGCCATCCTCGTATTTTCAACGTGTTTTGTTAAAAAACAACATATTTTCGCCTTGCTATCTGTTTATTTGTAGCTTATTGTAAGCTAGTTATTTTTGAGGTGGGCGGCGAGACTTGACAAATTCTAAAATGAGACTCGGCTTAAAAAGTTTGAGAACCACTGTATTATACCACCAAAGTCTCCAGACATCAATAAAGTAAAAAAATACTCACTCTAGACTGAGTGTGAGAGGTTTCGTCAAGTAGAAAAAATCACTGACGTTACAATTTGTAAACCCAAGTGTGTCGATCTAAATTGAAATCAAAATTACAATAAAAAAATTCATGAAAATAATACGTTAATTTCATTGTATTGAATCAAAACATCAATACAGAATAAGAATATCATATTTATTTCAATATGTTCCAAATGTGAAGAATATGACTCACTATATATATTCCTATGCCCTACCAGACGGACAGTCAGATGGTATTAATAGATATAGCAAGTTCAGGTTAATAAATGATTTATTGGCTGAACTAGAAAGTCAGTAACCTTATTATTAAGCATAATATGTTTTAGAACAGTGGTTTTTAAACAATAGGGCACGCACCACAAAGGGGTAGACATTTTTTGGAAGGCGTGAAGCTAATTAAAACTGAAAATATTTGTTAGATTTGATCTTGCCTGCCATTTTTTTAGATATTTACATTTCTTTATTTTGGATATTTACATTCCATAGACGTATTTTCAACATATTTTTGGATAAAACATATTTTCGCCTTACTATCTGTTATTTGTAACTTTTTATCAGGTAGTTATTTTATAGGTGGAGCGCGAGATTTGACAAATTGGGGGGAGCTGCTTGAAAAGTTCGAGAACCATTGTTTTATAGCAGGGGTGGGCAACTTCTCTAGTCGACGGGACAGATGTGGGAAGATGAAGTCCCCGCAGGCCGGATTATTAGAAAAAATACTTCAGTATCAAATCTCTGTCAACTTTACGTTTCTTGGGATATTCCATGGTTAATAAAACTCAATATAAAATCTAATTTCTAAAATCTATTTATATTTAGAATCTAAATATAACGAATAACAGTAGTGGGAAATGTTTACAACGCTCTATTGTTTGTTTGAAATAGTAGTTGCTTAATCAAACATTGTTAGATATGGGGGGTGGGGGGGAGCCACTGGACAGTGGTACAGAGTGGAGTTGTTCAGAGCAAAAGGCATGAATAAGCAGCGTTCTATAAAAACAAAAACAAAATGTGACTCAACGATTAAATTGAATATCAGAAAAAGAAACTCAGCAGGATAGTCTGGCTTATAACCAGTTTTCACTGCGACAAACGAAAGAATATTAACTGCGATTAACTTACATCATTAACATCAGCCATCATCAATGAGGCGTGGCTAATGGCAAGTACATAAATCTATGAATAAAATGAAGCCATACGTTATTTCATTGGCTAGAAACCAGGAAACAATCATCAAAGGTCTATATTGAGCAATTCACAATGAAGTGATATAGTGCAATAGGAGACAGTCATAACTCATAATAAGATCAAAGAGTCGACTTCATTTGACCTCTGACACTTTAATAAATAGAAAACCATATTATGCATTGCTTTCTGTTGCTGATATACACAGATGTATTCAGCATTTCCTTTCGTAATGATATATTATTTGAATTACGTCAGGGATGGACAAACTATGGCCCATCAAAGCATTGCTGCCCTTCGCAAAAAAAAACTTTGCCCACCCACGATTTAGGTAATATATCTGCGCATAAGCATGGGCCATTGATGTATCACAACTTATTTACACCTAATACCATGTACGCACGTAGAATAAAATTTGAAGTGAACATTAATATATCAATGCATTGAATGTTATAGAAACACCCAAGGTGTGATGTAACTGAGAAAGTTTTGTAAGTGGATATGACAAATCTTCAAGTAAACTATGATGCATATGAAACACATTGAGTAAAAATAATAAAAGAAGTAAAGTTAAATCAATGCTTCGAATGTTGAGTCACTTAAAAGAAAACAAAACTCTTCATAGTAACCATATGACTAATTCAAAAACAACTTGCGAAGCAAGTATACCGAATGGTGAGTACCCAACAGTTTCTAGTATTCAAAATTTTTTTTGTCTATTTTGATATAGGACTTTAAATCTAAATTTTACCAATTGATGCATGACAAGATATAAAACATAAATGATAATAGGATAAAATTAGGTATGATTTTACTAATATTGTAGCTTTATATCTAGCATACAAAAGCATTGATTGAAACTATTTTGTGATAAATAGTGTGTTTGTTGAAAAATGGTTATCCAAAAGTCGTTTTTTATGACCTCTAATAAACGACAGTACTGCATTAATATCAAATGAAAATATATACTCTTTCATATTATTCTGGAAATGCAGCAGTCATTGAATATCTAACAAAGATTCATATTATGTCAATTTTAATATATATTGCTCAAGCCATCAAAGAATCAACTATAATTTGGACGGATCAAAATCTTTCTGGTGCGGCATTGCCAACCCAAGTTATAACAACCTGAGTGAGGGGTGAGATTTGAACTGTAATTAAATTTTGTAGGAGTTATGGGACCAAAAATTTCCGAGTCAAATGGTAGCATACAAAAATGTAATTGTGAGGAAATAAAAAATCGACTTACCGTTCCATTTTCCTTTTTTTGAACTAGTACAAATCTCAATACAGTGTGTGGAGTGATAAGATGTGATTGATAGAAACTTAGTGTAGCAACAAAATGAACATCAGAAGCAGCTTTGACTTGATCTGTCTTGAATACTTGTGTTAAATCAGTGGCAGGAGGTAGCAATGAAAAAACTAAAAGAAATATTAAACAGTGAATAATTATTAGGTCAGATGTAGGAAAAATCTAATAGTTGTGAAACATATATATTCAATGTATAGCGTGTTCATAAAATCCTGTATTAAATTAGGTAAAAGAGTTGATGCACTTTGTTCAACTAATAGTGGACATATGAAAGTAAGTTAATTGAAGTAAAAGAGTTAATGAACCAAACACTGATTAAACTAAAACTAGGATGTATTAAAAACTGAGTTATTCAGAACAAAATTTGGATAGTAATAAAACTTTATTAACTCACAGTATATTCCATGAATATGAATATTGGAAGGCGGAAAATTGGAATAAAAAATGATTTGAATTGTTTTTTCTATTTTATACATTTCTCGGACATTAAGCGTCATCATACCTTGAGACTATTCATATTCATCTAAAACGATTATTTTTCAAATGAAATTAAATTATTCCTGAAGTGTAGAATTGAAAATATTAAATATAACAAATTTTGACATTGTTTCAGACAGGTAATCAATGTATAAATGACAAACGATATTTATTTCAGGAACCAATACTGGAACCAAAATTCATTCAAGCATATTGATTTATGAATAGAAATAAACAATCATGCAGCATGTTGATTTAATTTTAGAACTTTTGATACATTGTGTCTCTAATAGAAACCTAGCAATTTTAAAATAACTTCATTTCTTTGAATAATGATAAATTCAACCATTCAACCAATTTTACATCTGAATGAACAAAAACATATTGAATAAGTATTAATATAATATAACTTTCACTACGTTTCAGTTAGGGAAATCTACATCTTTCAGTACTTGGTTAGCAGTGAGTTCTCATCTATTTACTGATATTTTACTATTTTGACAAACAAATTTCACCTGGAAGGTTTTTGTCTAAATTTAGTCTAATGAAGTGTTTCCCAACCTATGGGTCGCGACCCAAGAGTGATGGCGGCATGTGATTTTACAAAATAATTCCTTTTAAAAAATTTGGGTCGACTGGAAAAAGTTTGGAAACCACTCGTCCAATGCAATCTAATACCTCATATTTATTTTTCTGATCGTTTCAAATTGAAGTATTCAAGAATAGAGTCAATCAGCGTTTGAGTAACGCACCACCATAAATTCAATGTTTTAGTAAATTTTGGCATCTCAATGGTCATTCATAACTTTGCTCAGAGTTGAGTTTGATTTATTTCTTAGTGTGATCTTATTTTTTAACCGAATTGTCTTATGAAAAAGAATTAAATATTCCAGAATTCTGTTTGGTAAGTTTTTTGATCATGAATATTTTACATGTTAAAATTCCATGTAAATATACTCTAGTTTGCAGCAAAACCAGGATATTTGCCATATTTCACTCCATGAAAGTTAACATGAATATAGTTTCAGATTTTTGTTCAAACTAAATTCTTTGTACACATTTTAACAGCAGTGGGGAACGGCCAACTTTAACATACATTTTAATATCAATGGATATGGGCATTTTGGAGAATACCATGAGTCAACCAGAGCTATGAATTTTTATTAAGTCATAATCATGAAAACATAATGAAAATGTTATTCCAGACATATAGTTGGCTACTCACCTCTTATCTGAATAGAACGTTTATGATCGATAGTTTTAGCGATGTTCAGATCAACACAACTGAGTCCAAGCTCAAGAACTGGTAAAACTGAATCCTGTATGAAAAATAAAGCAATGGTGGGTAAAATTAAATTTCACTCAAATATACGTTATTTTTTTCAAAAAATACTCCTATTAAAATTACAGATAATCAAGAATAATTGAAAAACCCATGCATTTCAAATGAAATTTTTCAATATTTGAAGAGAAATTTTTGCAGTAATAATATATGGAAAAGACGCTTTAATTAATCAGAACAAGCTGAAAATACATAGCACAACTGCTGCAAGCAAATATCTAATATGTGGACTTATCTAGTGGCAAACATATGTTACTGAGATTAAGTTGACAAACAAAAAAATTTAAACAAAACATAACGAACACTTAACATAAAAATAAATCAAAATAATGGGGACAGGTCAATTTGAAAACAATTTCAACAATTACACACGTTGTTATACACAGTAGTAAAATGAAGAAAAATTTGAAAAAGTTTGAAGACTATGCATAGCATTAATAAGTGCATGCTTTCGTGTATTTGTAGGCCAAGATAGACAAAAAAAAATACAATTTAACATAAAACAAGCCTACTCGAATAAAAATTTCTGGTATCTAAACAACATTCAGTAATAAAAAAGAATCAGTAATCATATCAAAAAATTTCGATTAAAAAATCTAACACAATAAACATTTTGTGCGAATGCACATCACCAGCTGTGTACGTTGCAATATCAACTCATTAGGCCGGTGATCGTATAACAGGCAGCGATCACAGTAAAGCCCTATTGTATTCTACACATATCCAGCATGCCCTGTATGTATTCCTTTGCAATATATTTTCAAAAGTTGATTTAGAGAACATTTTAGGCAAGCAAGCAATTCTACATGGCTAGCTACAATGAAGCAACTATCATTATTAACCTTTATATTGGACATAGCTAAGTGTACTTGCCAAGCCAACATATGCTTCTACAAAAAGATTTGTGGAAAATACTTGAAAAAATGCAGGTTAATTTACACATGAAAGACCTTGTCATCTTTCAGACTACTTGATCTTTCAGAGTAAAGACTATATAAACTTGTTCTCAGGTTTAAGTACATGCGATGCAAAATCATTCAAATATTTTAAAAAAATGGCCGGTAATTTCAGTCAAAATTCTTAACCGTTAACCAGGCAAAATTAATTGTTTTTAACAGCTGTTGCTTTTTTTTGGAGTAAGTTAATTAGTGATATAATGAACTAATAAAGATCTAAAGATAATAATATGTATGAATTAATTTTTCTTCGAAGTAAGCTCATAACTGTTAAACATCTAAAAACGGTTAATTGATTACCTATTTCAGCTTCTAAGCACTAATAGACTTTTAATATACAAACTTGAGATTTTATCAAAAATCTAATGAACCATACTGGAAAAAATTTTCAATACCAAAATTTATGCAATATGATATTTTTAATGTTAACAATAGGAGAGAAATAGAAAGTTTAAACAAAATATGACTCAATGTCATCTTCCCTGCTTATATTTTAAGATCAAAGCAGCCAGAATGCATTATTGGTTAGCAATTTGCTTTGATGTGGTTATTACAGCCCAGTTGGAATTTCATATACGCAACTTATCTTCATATCAATTGAAGAGAATTCTACTAGGGACAGCCAAACTTGACATCTTTATTATTACCAATATGTTATATAAAAACATAAATATAAAATATTTGCTGAATACTGAACATCAAAATTTGTATAAATCATTGTATATTGACAGATATCAGAAAAAATGATGCAGAAAAAAACTATTGTTTCAACTTTCAGTTAATCTTTAACAATTACAATTTAATTAAGAAAAAGAATTTTTAATATCGATTTTAACATATCCTAATTATGGGTCTATTTCGCCTATCTATCTGATGTTAAATTATACTTTAATACACAAGAAACGATTAATTCATTTTGAAATCACAGAATTAAATACCTCAGAATGCATCCCATTACCAGATCCATTTTCAGTATCCCTCAATTCAGCTTTTTTAAAGTATTATTGATTAATTATTGGTCTATTTTAAGTACTACTGGTAAGTTGCAGAGACTAATTGTGCTAAAAAATCCAGGCTGAAATTAGAATTAGTCACACAGAGTTCATGCACCATCAAGGTGTTTCAACTTTCTACAGCATGCTCGTTCATTTGCAATACATTACATGTAAGCTCACAGGAGATAAAACGACGTTTTTACGACGATTCTTCACTTTCATTTTCGTTTTCTTAGTTTCTGTAACCACTTCAACATCGGAAAGCGTCATGTTGTAATCCTTAGGAATTAATTTCCGTCGTGACAGCATTGGTGAACTCTTGAATCAGTTTTGATGATTTTTATTTCAATAAATATACCAGAGCGAATGAAAATTTGACTGAACACTAGGAAAGGAAATATAAACTCACATTTGCTGATCTTGTTTCTTTTATGATTGTTTGTGGCATTGATGATGGCGGCTGAAGATTTTGTTGAGAACTCTAGGAAACATAGAAAAAAAAAGGACTGGAGAATGTTGCAAAAATTCAAGATTCAAGAGCAATGTGACAATTTCGAAACAAAAATAAAAATGTTCATGGTTTTTTATAGAATTTTAGTTTGTAAAATTTAGCGACATCATTATTTTATTAAAAAGAGGACATTTTTGATCAATTGAAATTTAGATGAGTCACAAGGTAAATTTCTTAAATAGCAAACTATCGGACATAAAAAAAAACTTGATAGGTATACAATCTAACCTGATATCTAAAATATGAATATAAACCAAAGGCATATAAACAAAAGTTGATTGAAAAATAAGGTGAAATTCACAAAAGTAGTCAAGTAAATCAATATAATACCATACATATCATACCTCTCCCAACATATTTTGTTGTTTCATTAACATTTCATATTTTTCCTTCAGTTTTGTATAATTGGCATCTTCTAATGCCTTTATCCATTGTTTCGCTTCCGCTGGTTCACTTGCAAGAAAGTAAGTACTTCTATTATCTCCATCAAATTCTGAAAACAATTCAAGGTTGACGAAGAGTTTAAAAAATAGAACTATAAAAAGGGGATTTCAAATAATATACAAAATTTTCTTTCATTTACCCAAAATAAAGGCACATTCTTGTGTTGAATCTGACACTGGCCTGACATGTGATCCTTCTAATACAAATACACCATGAGGATCCGAGCCCTAGTTATGAAAAAACACAACATTTTGATTATTGTTAGTTTTACCATATAAAAAGTAATCATAGTCTTAAACAGTTGCTTTACTGTTATGAATAATTTTGTTTGTGATAAAAAATTAAAGAAAAGTCAAAGCAGTACGATTTAGATGAAATGAATTTTTTACCAAGTCTATTTCTAACTTTTAATTCAAACAATCGCTTGATTTTTCAAAATTAGCTATTAATTTAATTCCAAAGCAGAATTATTTAATATCGCCTATATATCTTATATAGTATTCAGCAAACTAGAAGTCAAGCGAGAAGCGACACACTAGCATATTCACAAAGTATATTTGGCATCATTATGCTGAATAGTATGTTTTCTTACTGAGATTTAACCAGAGTAAGGCCAATGCACTCACTCAGAAGATATGTGTTCATGTTATGCCGAAGCTGAATCAAAAAGAATCTCACCATATCTTTTGTCTTGAAATAGAAGAATAAATTATCCACCAGTCTGCACCAACGTTCTGTCAGAACTAAAATAATAATACAAGAAACTCTCATTAAAAATACTGTCATAAAGAAGACCTGTTGGTAGGAGCGTACTAAAACTGGAATTGATTTGAGGAAAAGGAAAATGAGAAAAAGATAAAAAAAAATTCTCCTCATTTTTTTTAAATATGTGATGTGGCCCCAATTATTTGAATCAATAACTTAAATTATTTTTATTCAACATGATCGAATTAGGAATGTGCTGAATATTGCACACTCGAAAACATTATTTTAGAATGTATTCAGAAAGGTGACCCATCTGTCACTGGATGTCACTGATTAATACAGCATTATTATGGTTGCTTACCATCAGTTTTGTTCCATAATTTCCCTTCCTTTTCTCTCAAGCTTAGCACCCCTTCTTTAGCGCATAACTTTGCCGATGTTATTGCCATTTGCTTTAGTTCACTGGCATTGTAACGCATTGTTAACTAAATCCAAGAATCTGCTTTGAATAAAACAAAGAGATAAAATGTGTGTTCATCCAGTCATTACAGCATTACTGATTTGAAATGAAACCGAAACATCAATCACTACAAGTACAGATCAGAAGGATTTACATGTTTATTCTGGGGGAGAGAAAAGTCGATAACACGGTTTATTAATTATATGGCGAACCACGGCCTCTTGTCCCTGCGTCCCGTTTCCAGTCTACGTTGGATATGGGATTAGTTAGCCAGTTATTTGTTTTCGGAAGAATGAACTCGATGGTGAAGGAGGCCATAGCCGACCAGCTGTTACGTGAACCACCCTACGGCGGAGAGGAGTCCAGCAATCCTCTCGCACATAACTATCCGTCATAACATATCCAGACATAAACAATCTGTGTGGGATAACACATAAAGTATACCGTCTCTATTAGCTAAGATTTTATTTAATGCCTGAATGTAGACATGTTAGAACTTACATTACAATTTAATTTACAGTAGCCTACCGTACGGTACCAGCAGTAACGGTACTGTAACCTCCATATCATGGGACGTGGACAACTCGACAAATAGCCTACAAACATCTTCAAATGCTACACACAAATGCACAGGCCAATATCCAGATATCGCCGATAGATTTTAATGCGGCGACCCACCCACCGATGTCTCAAAGAATGATAAGTCTCCGGAGTCTGAATAGGTATATAAATATCGTCTCACTGTTGCCCCCTAACGACCAAAGAAATAAAAGATAATAACATCGTCTATTTTCTGTAACCGCAGTAAAATTGTACCTTATACTTCATCATTGTGAATTTTGTTTTCGCGTGTTGTCGTTTGCAACCTGGTTTAGTTGTCAAAAATTATCATTTGCTTTAAAAGTGGTCAAGCATAAAAAGTACTGAAGCAGTTGAACAAATTTTAATAGTTAAGTCACGGTGCTTGTCACGTACACTGCTGGGGAACCACCGCCGCTTTGCCGCTTACCGGTCCCAAATATATTTTGTTTGATGTTCAGTTCTCTGTCGTCTGAATGGTTTAGTTCGGTTATAAGTTTCTGTCAACTCGAAAGAGATAGGAACAGCTTTTAAATCGATTTAAAATAAACTGGACGATCTTGGAAAAATAGAAAGTAGAGCGTAGGCCTACTTACTGCTATATTAATGTATTATGATATCCCGCTTGAATCGTAATACCGTACGGTACCGGTACCACTACCAGTGTACCACTAAATTCACAATCGCCTGGTTAACATTATAAAGTTATAGCCTATGTCACGGGCTACCTGTGTCTTTAGTTTGCTGCTAACTTAGCTTGTCAAAGTCTATGTATGTGTTTTTTGGTAACTTTATTTCTTGATCTGTTGATGGAGATAATAGTCTACTGTTATAACCGCATTAACAATATTACAAACTAATTGTTCATCGTGCATTCTAGCTCGGGTAAAAGCACATTAATGTGACAAACTACGCCCATCACTCTTTACCAGTGTAGGTCGGGTATGAATGGCAATAGCTAGTAAACTCTCCAGAATTGATTTTATGCGAGGAACTCTATGAATTATCATCACAGCGAATATATATTTACCTTTTTTCACAACAACAGCTACATAAACATATAACGATGCAATCTCTTATCAGAGATTGTTTCATTGTGAGTGTGGATTTGTGACCTCACACTCGCTATAGCGATTTAACCAGTTGTATGTATCATCAAGCTTGTGGTTGCTAGGATATCCATGGTATATGAAAAAAATTTGGTCTTTTCTAATTTAGTGTTCAACTAGTAGCCTATTAAACAAAAATTCTAGTAAAATGCTCAACGGAGTATTTCTAATTAATTCACTTGGTGATGTATTGGCATGTAAAAACTTATCTGCCGCGAAATATACATGGAGTCCAAAAATATTTTTTCAACGAGGATTGCAGAAATTTATCAATAAAGTTTTACCACCATGTATAGAAATTGACAACGTATTCTATACCCATGCTTCCAGCGATGAAATTTTTGTTGTAGCTGTGTCTGATTCTGAGGAGATATCTCCTATATTGATGATGATAAGTTTACAGAATTTCATCAAAGAATGTGCCGATTTAATTGGAGATATGAAAAGTGAGAATGTACTTTTACACATTGCTGTTGTATATGAGTTACTTATACAAACATTTGGCTTGTCCCATCCTGACAATATATCACAACATGCCATTAATGAGTGCAAGCAAATGGGAAATACTGGATTAACAGAGGCTGGTATGTTCCCTTTTATGCCAGAAAACTTATTTGGAGTATCACCTTCAAAAGAAGAGAAATATATGAAAGAAAGTAGTGCTTCAAAAGCACCTCTAGCATCTCAACAAGAAAAGAAAAATGAAATATTTGTCGATCTGATTGAATATCTTGTTGCGATAATTGATAAAGATGGTCAAGTTATTCATGCTGATATAAAGGGATCATTGAGCACTAAGAGTTACCTCACAAACACTGTCAGTGTTCAAATCGCTTTGCCAGATAAGATCATTGAGGAGAATCCTACAGACACAAGTGATACTGACAAAATATTTATCACAGCGAAGCGTTTCAGATGCAAAAAATCATCGAAAGAAACACAAAATGAATTTCCACTTGTAAAACACTTGTCAGGCCCTGGTCTTAATCCGATAATGGATTACAATGTTGCATCAGACAACCTTAAACTTCCATTTACAATGTATCACAACTTTTCAAAGACCAATAAAGGCAGTATGATTGAGTTAGCATTAACCTGCAAAATTTTTTGTGCTCTACCACTTGGAATTTCTCCGATTAACTGGTCTGCATCATTTCCACTGCCATCAAAACTTATATCTGTAAGCGGGACGTCTTCTCTGAAAAGTATCCATTTTACACAAAGTAAAGATAAAAGGACATTGCATATGCAAAGTCCTGTGTTCCCTGCCCAGTCACATCACTCCATCACGTTAATTTTACTATTATCTGAGATTTTGCAATTTATGGTTTATGAAATGCCTCATTTAAATATCAAATTTGAGGTACCAAATCTTTGTATCTCAAATATGAGGATACAAAGTCTCAAAGTTCAAAATATTAACTCAAACACTTCCTCCACTGTTACCAAGTGGGCCAGATGTGTTACACATAGCAATGACTACACATTTGAATTAAAGTATGATTGGATTTAATGTGTCTCCATCACCTTGTATTATACTATCTTTCATAAAAAAATGCTTATAATATGGCAGGCCATAACCCTTTGTTCTGCATGGGCCGTGCCTAAATTTTCCTCACAGGATTGTTTACATGCACAGGCTAATCAGTCAGGTCAGACTAGTAAGTGAACTAGGAGAAAGGACTTGCAGTTAAGTACACAATATCCTAGAACGGTACCGTACCATATTTATACACAATCATAAAAATAACGGATTCATATCGAAATTAGACCTTTTTCATACATGCTACGCCGAAATAGTTTGATGGGCACAGGCAGACACATTTTCTACCTTGATCCAGTATGACAAATTTCCCACCATTTCTGCAAAATCCAAGACTGCACCGATTGGGATCATAACGATCAAAAAGCTCGGACAATGCTCGTTCTGTGTTTTTTCTGATATGGCCTGAAGGAACCAGATCAGAAATTGGGGCGAGTTTAAAATCTATAATGGCCGGATTGTGCTTTATGCTGTCAACCCATTGCTGGTATTTTCCGTGATCTGTGTCCTCCCCAAGGAGCGTCAACACCGCGGCCGCTTTAGAGCTTCCTCCTACAACACTTGATGTCGTTTTGGAAGCCGAGTGCAAGAAAGTTCGTTCACTAGAGCTCGAGGAACCACTGCCTGCACAATTTTTTGTTGACAAGGATGGTTTTATGCCATAAATTGTCACAGCTGCTTCGGTCGTTATGCAGCTTTTCTGTTCCTCATCTGTTAGTTTTGTGCGTGAAATCAGACTTTTGGCGTACTGAAATACAACTTTAAATATACCTCCCACAACGCCAGAGGAGTAATAATGTGTCCCGAAATCACGAATTAAGTCCATGTACTTCGCGTAGTCGTATTCGATAGGCAGTTCTCCAATACGCTGTCGGAATTGTGAAGACAACTTCAAGCCCTTGCGATTTATATTGAATTGTCCTATGCGAACTCTACTAGTTAGAATAAAATACTTGTAGTCTGTTTCTATGCTAGATTCAATGATTTTCTTCCATACGTTCTCTTCCGATTTTGCTGCCTTTGCTCCGTATGTAACGATGTCGTCGTAGGCAAACGAGATTTCCGCAGAAATCTTATACTCGTAATCTTTGTTCTTTTTCTCATTCAGCTCCATCGTATTTCTGTATGAACTCACCCGCAATGTGGTGTGCACTTCTGCGGAAGAACGGTAGCTTTGGATATTATATGGCTTCCTGAATCTTTTTTGAAATTCGCCCAAATACACGGTGTCACACGTTCCACCATACTTGTTATTATCAAGTACGTGGCCCATGCTTTCAGCTTTTAAAATGTCATACCCGGCTCCGATATTCCCTATATTTGGGATTGATTTGTAAACGACCCCGCCACAAGGATTTCTGGCTGTTGTACAATTACGTTCGTCTGATGTATCTTCGCAATCGGCATCGCCGTTGCATTTCAACCAAGATGCGATACAATGACTGTCGCTGTCACATCTCAAGGGCTGTGATTTCGAACACTGCTGGGTTAGCATGCTGCAATTTCCAGTTATTGTGCAGTTGTAGTCGATCCCCGCGTCACTCCCCTCGCATCTTTGGCCACCATATAGTGAAGGGAAAGCTACTTTTCGGTACCTTGAACGTAACCCTCCTCCACATTTATCACACGAACTCCATTCACCCCAAGTCCCCCAGCGGCATATCATGGGACAGGGTTTCACAAAACAGAGGTTTGTTTGTCTGTAAATAGGAAATATCGGGAATTATATTCCATGCTATCCGTATCCATAGACATTGCCTATTTCAAAATGAATTAATTCTGCCTTTCGATCATCGACCATTTTTTTTCGAAAATTCTGAGTCCAAGTTATGTATACTGATTGATTACTGCTTTTGTATAAGATAATTATATATATATATATATATTAATTGAATAATAATATAAATTGTTCTGACTCTAATGATGGACATCTTTGGCCATGGTGTTGATGCATCACCGTTATATTTCTCGTACGGTATGTCAGCCCTTGTCCGCAAAGTTTACTGCAAGTGGACCAAGGTCCCCACGCCGTCACCTGTGAACAAGAATATCAAAATTGCTATGAGACTAATTCTGCTGTGAAGGCTTTTCGATTTTGGTAATTCTACAAACTAGATATACATTTTGAAGTCATAACTACCTGACAATCTTCATCGTGCTTTCCCCACCATAGATGACCATCAGTCACCGCAAAATAAGCCAACATATACACATAACAAAGAAGAATCCTCATAACTTAACAAATAAGGAATCACTCAGGCCAGTTATTGTTATATCAAAAAACTGTATATATACATGCCCTGCGGTCAACATTTTATCGCCCATTGCAACGTTTATCCCACACTGAATGATAACATCTGTCCATTGATGCGTCACGCAATATAATACCACAATAATAAGGCATATCGGAACTGATGCAACAATGTGATACCGGTAGATAGATTTTTTGACTTGTCAACCAAAATTATTTGATTGATTGAAAAAAATACTGTAAATCAGGGGTGTGCAACATTTTTTGTTGGCGGGCCATATAACTTCGCCATGTAAAAAAATATAGGCCGCGAGCCGAGGCCCTGAAAAACGCCTAGAAAGTGAGTTTCGTAGCGCACATCAGGTAACTACCTGAAAATGATTTTAAAATGTTCCTTAAAAATTTAGTAACAAATATTGCCTTGTTCCCACTTCCAAAAGTTGCACGTTTTACGGAAAAGACGCTTTTACTACAAGAAATATGTGCTACGATCTGTCCTATATTCTCTACATTTTCGGCACTGAACAATGACTTCTGCATGACGTAACAATTGAATTAAACCAGCTGTTAGCGAGCGGATGAATATTAGTTATTTCTGCTCGACCTTGCGCTGAGTTGGGCAGGCTTTCCATAGCCCTGTTTAGTTATTATTAGTTAAGTTATGCTAAGACGTTGTTGAAAAATGTATAAGTAAATTATTAAACACTTGTAGATCCTTACCACGGATATGGGCCGTGAGACGAAACCATGAAAACGCCCAGAAAATGAGTTTCGTAGCGCACATCTGGTAACTAAATAAATTCTTCAGTTTTGTGTGAAAACGAACATAATGAACGCATTACAGCTTGTTCCACAATCCTGGTGCGAAATTGAATATAAGAGGTTCCCGGAAATTCAATAACCATAAGTTTACAACGCATACATAAGAACTATACAATTCGAGAGCCCTACAGCACACTAACACAAATGTATTCCTGTAATGTTTTGCCTGACCAAAATCGGACTTCCTCAGTCAATCATAATTTATTAGGTAGATTACGAAAAATATGGCATACACGTAACCAACAACAAAAAATACTTTAATTGTGTGACAGGAGTCGGGAGTGACCTCGAAAGCAGCGACACCAACAACGCTGATTCACATTTGAGAATAAATTTTATGTAATAACCACAAGCAGTTTACAACAAGAACAGCATAAAAAGCTACATCCATTTTATAGAAGCTATCAAGTATCAAACGTATTTATTTTTAAGCAATGAAGTCACAAATTAACATCGTGAGCACGAAAACACAAATAAATCAGTTATTTCTCACTTAGAAATTTACCGCAAAAGTCAAGAAAATTAAATGAATGTACAATATGTACATAACATAGTGAACAGAAATATTACAATTTACAATTAATCTTTTTTTAGTTTATGTGGTTATGTATTTGAACAAAGGCAATAATATTTCTAGAAACAGGACTACGACACTAACAAATGTCCGAAACAACAAACAAATGTATGATACTTATTAAATCAACTGTAATATCTAATTCACTTTCTTCTGAATTGTTTTCGAAATCCACTATCTCAAAAATCGACTTTTCCTCTATAGGTGTACTGTGATTTCTGCAGTCAATACAAAAACAAAAATCTGTGCAATTTAAGTTGATTTTGGCACACTTTCATAAATTATTTTGACTATTTTTCTTTGCAGTTTGCCAACTCAAGAACTGATTTGAGGGCCACATGCTTCTTCAGTGAATCATTGTTGGGTGAAGAGTATAATCCTTATGTTTGACAGTGTTAAATAGACGTGCCCTGGTATCATTTACATTCTTCATATCCTCTTCAAATTCCTCAGCTTTATTTATTAATACCTCATTAACCTCGAAAGATCTTCATAGTCGAGGGAAAAAAATGAATTGAAAATCTCAATGAAGTCTCCAACATGAATTTGATGGGCAGTTCCAATTGCAGAAAAGTGCTAAAGTATTTCAATATGAATAGCCCATCTAAGCTGTTTGCAACTATTATGATTCTCATATACCTTTAAGCTTCAAGACTTCTTGTTTAATCCATTTTATAGCACTGATAGCAGCAGGGATCAGAGCCTGCGTTAGGTCGGATTGGTGGAACATTGCGTTTTCTTTTGTAGTACAGTATCTAAAATAAGGAAGAAAATAATATTTGGAGCAGCATGATTTTAAAAATACCCCTAAATACTAACTAATACCTTGAATACATAATGCATTTTATCTGATGTACTAAATGAGCGTATATATGCTCATTGCATGTTCTAAAGTCCAGCAGTGTTTGCATACCATTACTAGACTATATCTACACTAAATTTTGATATATCACAGTCTGAAATGTCCTATGACAGTATGAGTATGGACTATAGACTATATTTTGAAACATCAACTGTTTGTCTACAACTTCATTTCTCACCTCTCAATCATTTCCAATGCTACCTTTCTTTCCGCTCCGGCATAACTTATCATTGCTTCCCAGGTTCTTGTCGACTCTATGAATTTAGATTTAGACCAACCGACATTAGTAAAATTGATTAATTTCTTCTCTTTCACACAACCGTGCATTACAGAAACAGCCATTCATTTCTATTTCCAAATATGCTGTGGCCTATATAGTAGTATAAGTCTGCTGAATAGTCAAAAGAGTCATTAAATTAATCATAAACATTTCATGCAAGCCAGAAAATATCGTTGTTTGTGACATATTATTCTAGGTCTACCCTTCCTTGGAGTTACCGCACCGTACCGGTACCTATTTAACAACGTCTTATGAGCTAGTGCTCAACTAAAATTGCTATTTATGGCAAGGATATACAAGTGTTTAATATCTTACCTATACTTTTCAACACCTCCTTAGAATAACTGGACTAATATTACCGGTAACTGAAAAAAACTATGGAAAGGCTACTCAACGCAAAAGCGAGCAGTTGAGTACATCTGATATTCATCCGACCACTGGGGATCCACCTACAGCTGACTAACTTGACTGTTACGTCGTGCAGAAGTCTGCGTTCATTGGCCCATGATACCGGAAAAGCAGAGAAAATAGGACAGATGGTAACACATATTTATTGTAGTAAAAGCGTCTTTTCTGTAAAACGTGCAACTTTTGGAAGTGGGAACAAGGCAATATTTGTTACTAAATTTCTAAGGAACATTTTAAAATCATTTTCAGGTAGTTACCTGATGTGCGCTACGAAACTGAAAGATAAATGGCCTCGGCTCGCGGCCTAATAGTTTTTCCATGTACAGAACGAATTATAAAATTCTCACAACTATCGCTTAGCCTTACAGTAAAAAGGCATCGGGCAAAATGACGAAAGGTTTAACGCAGTGACAAGAGCAAAAAAATGTATGGATTTTTTTCCCACGTGAGCCACCCAAAAATCGTGATCAACAGAAGCCCATTTTCTCTCTTGCTACGTTGTCGATTTCATTCAAAGTATCATCGTGTCGACTGTCTATGAAGAATTACAACGGTTCTAAGTTGTTATAGGCGGCGTACGCAAAGTGCGTCAGATCATCGTAATAAGATTTTTTGATTTGTCACGGGCGACCTTCGTTTCCTGACCGCAGTTCAAGGTACTAAACAACTTGCCATCGATCGCATTCCGTAGTTGTATGTATTTCAGACATACAAGATCATATCACCAGCTAGCACAGGGCCCAGTTGGTCTGTCACAGCAATAATATCACACAGGTACGGTACATTTTTATATTTGACGGGATAAGAGTCACGCTGGGATACAATCATGCGTACCCCACGGCGTGGTTAGTCGCGTGATACTGCGAGACACCGCCCTAATTTGAAAACTAGACCTGCTTTCTTTACCCAAAGGCAAATCTCTCCCACTTGTATAGTTAAAGATGGAAGTAGTTAAACATGGAAGTTGAACACTCAAAGTTAAGTAAAATCATTTATTCTTGGTGATGCTAAAAAGCTTTCCATGAAGATTAGGGAAGCCATAAAATTACAACGAAACATTCGAAAAGCAACTAAAATAACAAGAACGTAGAATTTGGTAAACAGGAATGTAGGTGCAGAAACAAATACCAAGGAGAAAAATCCAAGGGACAAGAGGAAGTGTTCATAAGTCCAGTCAGTACACAACGAATTAGACGAAAAACATGGTTTATTTTGACAAGACCAAAACAGAACTCTTTTCTTCAAAGGCGAAAAGGGCCAAAGAACTTCGAAACAATTTGAAGAACAAGTGTTGCGGATTTTGAGAACTTTTACATATAGACATGATTTGTTTTTGTTTCAAGTTATTCACATAATTTCAGATTTTTTTTTGCTTTTTGAAACGCTGTTAAATCCAACGCCCTACTGTTAGAAAACAGCTGGTTATATAAAACTTAGTAAAATTTGTTTAAAAACTTTAAAAAAAAATTGAAGTGGCAGTGATAAGAATTGTGGAAAAGTAGTCCCAGACAGACCAATAAATTATCTACCATTATAAAATTATGTAGCATTAGTGAAATAGCACGTAGCACAAAGACACGTTTAGGGAGCATTACTGGGCTAACAGCCATTTCGTTTTTATCCGGGCACTACTTTTATGTACATTTGTCGTTTGATTTGGGATCCTACATAGTCCTCGCATGGCGTAAAACTTTACCCAAGGACTTTGACCTGCTTGAAAAACTAGATTTCCATGGAAAATTGTTTTCCATTTTCCAAAACCAGCCTCTTCACGACCATCACTGCAATTCTTCAAATGGAAGACTGGCCGGCATTTTTAACAATGATACGCACTCCATTCTAAAAAAAAAATATTGTACAAATTGAGAAATTTATAGAAGCAAGATATATAATTGTGTGAGTGTGTGAATTGTTACGAATATACACGCTTAACTTGTACAAAGCTGTAACAATTGGCAGTATCTTGGAACACAAAAAAGTGTCAAACTATTTCACTCACTCAAGTTTGGCGGGCAATATAAAATCGTTGCGCGGACCGTAACTGACTCGCAGTTTGGGAACCAGTTGTAGCGCAACAAATATGCTTTGGCAACAGGCCACCAGAGTCATGGTCCCCTATATCAATAAGGTCTTGTATATGATTAAAAATTGTAACAGGAAGAACTTTCAGGGATGGATAAAGAATTTTTAGGACACCACCCGATCATACATTTCAAGTAGAATTACTCACTTTGCTTCCTTGTATTTGTCTCTTGCAGCCTGTTGTGGGTTGCCAGGTGCAGCATTGAATAAATTATATAACTTAGATATGCATGGTGCAAGTTCGTCTAAGTTGTACTGCATGTAGTGTTGCATTGTTTCATCCTGGAAGGCAAAATGTAGGTTATAAACTTTATTTGCAGTGCAGTCCACAAAGAAATATGAGCATCTACTTACCCATATTTTACCAGAAACTGCATAGCTCGCCAGACACACCGCTGAAGCAGCTACAAAAGATGGCAGAAAAGCAACCATTTCACAGTCATTGAGTGCAAGTTCACATAGGTACTGAAAGGAAATAGAATTGATAATGATTGAAAAAAATTATCAGATTCATTCATTTTAAAAGTGCGGGGAATCAACGACTAAACTAAATCGACAGCAGCTGTGGAGTAAACATGGCAGTTGCTATAGGAATTTTTATAACATAGTTGATACCGCATTATCATATGTATACTTGTTTCATTTATATTATTACAAATATGAACAATATTGGGAAAATGTTCAGTTTTCCTTTTCTACAGATATTCAACACTAAGGCTTATCAATATCAAAAGTCTAATATTAATAATGTAATATTTGTGAATAGGTTAGAAAGTTGATAACATATGAGAGTAAGAATTAGTTGTTTGTACTGATTACAAATTACACATGTTTGATTTAATGATAGAGTCTTACCGAAGCAAGCATTTCCGTTTTTCTGTCAGCACAGGCAGCTTTTAAAAACCTAGGTAAAAATTGATTTGAGGTTGGGACGGCAACATCGAAGCTGAGGACTTTAAGAATGAGATGCTCCATTCTCAGAACTTGTTTCTTTGTGTAAGTATCATCAGTAATGTAGACAAATTCACCGACATCTGGTGGGTAAATCTCTTCAAATTTTCTGAAATATGTAATAAATAATAATTTAACCTAATATATATAAAGAAACAATTATAGAGGATTAATGATCACATTTTTATTGAAATTCGACTCAATAACTCTTCAAAACCACTCTTAGCACAGTTCCACAACAAATATCCTTATATACTCACGCGGCGAGAAACATTGCTGCGGTCCCGACAAGCTGAAGCTTCGCTCTCATAACAGCCATATGGGAAAGAAATCTGTCGATGTAATTGACTGCAAGATGTGTAGTTTCTGTGTGTAATTTATATTCTTCTGAAACCTCAATGAGCCAATCTACTAATATGGATCTCATGCTTGCTGTGATGTCTTGCTGTTTTCTCATATAATTTGCTTTCGGGCGATTTCTTGTCTGTATGAATTTTTTTTTAATTTGAAATCTTATTAAATTAATTAATATTAAATAAATTCTAAATAACCCGATCAATTCGTGGCACATCGAAGCAAACTAATTTAATGTGAAGCAAGATCATGAATAATTTTAGTACAGATTCTACTTTTAATGAAGCTCTTAGTTTATTGATAATTTTGAATAAAAAAATTAAGCGAAAAGTTTAGAGTGAAAACAATTCCAATACCATGCTTTGTGTTCTTTAGTTCACAAGTAAAAATGTCCTGTATAATTGTCAAGTCTGGATCAGCCATAGGTTGTAGGCAACTTACCTCAGCTTGTCTTAGGTGTTCAAAAATTTCAGTTGCATATTCGGAGACTCCATAAACACTGGATTCTGCATCAATATCGGATATACTAGATCTGTCTGAAGAATTTAGTGTTGTATCCAAGACCATAGGAGATTCTATAAAAATGAATTGTTGAGGTAATTGTTACAAGTACAGTTCACAAGCCATTTCTAAGATACCTAACGAAAATACTCTCATTATGACATTTATGATACATAACAAACATATCAGAAATATTGGAGTTCCCTAATTGAAGCCCAATTGAAGTTTTTTTACAATTCCTTACCATGTTGTTCTGGAACTGGTAAACTTGTTAAAGGTGCCCTTGATATTGAAGGTAAAGCTGTTAACGCAGCAGGCAAACTGGATTTATCTAATGTTGACTGTCTGGTGACTGGCTTCGTGCTCTCAGCAACACTAACTGCACAAGCAGTTTCATCAAATATCTGTATGAAATCAGGCGATGATTACAGTCCGTTCGGTTGCTAGACCATGTAGTTATGAAGCATAACAAGAGGAAACTTAATTTTTTTTTTTCAGGAAGAAAACTTAATAAAATACTAGCAGTAGAAAAAATGTAATGTAAAATTATATTATAAATTTCATTCCATGTTACAAAAAAATTTTAAGTTCGCAATTCAAAGAAATGAACAAAGATCAAATAAGGTAGAAATTTCATACACAAGACTTGAGAAGAAAATCTTACCTTGAAACCGTCGTTTGATGCAGATGCAGGCTTGTTTCCTCCAAGCGATGTGAAGAAACCCTCTGTCGTGGCATTCTAAAAAAGAGAAAATTATAATTACCGTACATTTCAACTGGTCAATAGTAAAGTGCAGAAATTTTTACTACGAAAAACCTTTGAATGTCAAACCTGTTTTGCTGCTCTGAATGGTTGCACCCTGCCACCAATTGTATTCTGATTTAGTTCTCCTAAAACAGCCCTTTGCCTTGTATTTTCATCTCTTTTCCCAAACATTTGGTGCTGCTGGTTAGGATTTTCTGTGTTAGCTTGTGAAGCAAACATGTTGAAAGGTCGAATGAGACTGTTGTCTATATCCGCCTGGAGAATATTTTTTTTTTTTGATTAGTAAATACCTAGGAGCAAAACCAACTAAACTTATATAAAGTAAATGACGTTAGCCCTAAAATGATTTGACCAAATAACAATGTAAGAAGGGGCAAACGACAGAGAATTACATCAACTTACTTAGAGAAAAATTGGGCGATCTGGTTCAATTAATTGAATGCAGAGATGGCTGTACCAACCATTTTACCAGATGTCCGAGAATAATTCAATATACAAATTTGTCTAATTGGCAAATTTTATATACCCTTAAAGACTAGAACTGACACTACCGTAATCATAAATCAAGAATTAAGTTCAGAAACTCAGCTTATCCAGCTACCAATCACATTTGCACACGCTTAATGTTATTTACATTGCCTTTCTGCAGTTCTGTGTGAAGTTCCCAGTCATCACAAAATTAGGCTAGCAGAATGGCAGATGAAGTATGGTAACAATTAGGACTGTAGGTAGTCTATTGAAGTAGACTGCTGGGCCTTGCTTAATTCTGCAATTCATCACTGCATTAAGACTCAAGAAATTTTAGTTTCACTGCTATAACTGTATAGCAACATTTACTGAATAATCTGATAACTGGATAATGGAGAATTCCAAGGTTTATCATCCATCAGCTCACCTTTCAGATATCCTTGTCAATATTCTTCTTCTGTGTAGGCTGTAAATGCTGACTTATGATTGAATTAAATTTCCAAATGCCAAGGTTAAAATATCATCTCTATTCAAATACAGTAATAAAATTCTTTCTACTCAAAAGTCTTGTTTTGTAGAAGGCTGTGTCGGACGTTCTTGAAGCAATTAAAATGATAAAAGCTGAAAATAGTTAACGCAAATGACAACGTGTCAACGATTCAGAAATCCAAGCAGTACGATTCCAAAACCTTCTTTCCGTCGGCGCTTTGGCAATCAATTTAAATAATCTTGATTGGGGATTGCGCGTTTTTCGGATTAAACAATTATTACGTCACGGCCTGCAGTTCCAACCCCACGATATCAAAATGCCTTCAGATATCCATGCAGTTTCCACTTCCCAGTCCACCTCTGCTTGAAATATCGGCTGAATGACTAGTTCTATCTACCAACGCCGCCTCCAATCTGTAAATGTACAAAAAATCAAAATTGACGCTAAAAGTCATGTCAAAACAAACATTAAATGCAATCTCCACAACAATTACGCTTTCCTTTTGTGTATATTATACCCCGCAACAAAACGCACGATGCCTGGTTACGGACGCCAAGCCCATTTTGTTTCCCTAGTGAAACGACAAATAGCATCCTACGTAACAGCTTTAGTTTACAGTGTATACTTTTGTCCGAGCCATAAGCTGGCTTGGTGTCGCTTCGCAAGTGTTTCCCGTTTGAATTTTGTATTTTAAATGACCCGCGATGCTCACAGCCAATCATCGCTCGCGTTTACCACGTGACGGCTTTGTGTTGAAAAGCTTGAGTAACGCGCACTTCGTCTCGTAGTAAAATTCTCTCTCGCGTTCCTTTTGTTTGGACTATGACCCGTTACAGTACTGTAAATCGATTAGATTTATTATGTTCGCCGACTCGACGCGTCCTTTCGATTTGTCCTGTCATCTGGAAAGGAGAAAGATCAATAAAACAATACCACCGTGGGCCATTCATAACTATTGCGATAGAAGGTTGACTATATCACAGTTGGTTTACATCTGTATAGAATATTTATGAACCTTTCAAGTGCCCGCTTTGCCGTCGCTGGAAACAGCCAACGGATCACGCATATTATACCACACCCAGTGTTATAGAGTTTCAACTCTGCGTTGGCGATCATCTATCACACCCAGTGTAATAGATTTTTAACCAGTGTTCTGTTTGTAGTAGAACCAGCTGAAAAATATGTCCTTTGTGAAAGAACCCGCTGACAAAAAATTTAAATCGCACCACTGGTTGTAACCCCACATTTTCGACTCGGACACATCGATATCCGATGGTTTTGACTGAACGGAGCCCCCCACCCACTTGACAATAAATTATTTGTCGAATTTGTGTTTGTCGGGTGCTAGGAAATGCGAGATTCACGTCGGTGTTGCGATTTCACCTAAAATATGAAACAGAAAAGGGTAAAATTATGATTATATCTTATCCAAAACCGCAACGGTCCATGATCCAACCGATATTTAAATCAAATGATGTTAAATCATTCAAAATCACCAACTTCACGCATTGTGAATATAGCTCTATGAAAACATAATGAAACTGAGGGAAATGAAAAATTTGCAGGTGTGCATTTTTCAATAATTAATACCTGACAATCATAAGTACTCCTCACCTTATCACGAGTATTTATGTCGGATATCCACATATTACGTTACGGGATAGGGGATTTAAATCGGTGGAATCTTTTTGCAACCACGCGACCACGAATGTATGAATAAAACAAAGGCTTTGTTATTGTTAACGAATATACTCGTTTCTAATTCGAATTTCGTATCCTCGGGCTTTGTTTCATTCCATAACAACAGTGTGGGGTCGTTAATTTCGACAATACAATGGAATCATGCCGACGGTTCTGTGGCGGGAAATTCAATTTATCTCAGTCGTAAAGCGCAAAAGCATCCTTAAATGTGCCCGGAAATACCTTCCAGTTAATTAATCACGATAAATGCGATTAATACGAGTCGTTGCATATTCTTAAATAACGAAGGTCTCGGTTTATCTTTCAATAAGTTTGGTACAATATTGTATAATATTCATTTTTTTTCGATACGAAATTATGATTTCAAAATTCATTACTACCGGTAGCTGTGTATTTCGCTGACTTCGAAAGAATTCAGATAAACATGGCAGATTTTGATTTTTAAATAAACAAAAATGTTATTGTTTGACAAGGAATATGTCTGTAGTATATCCTTTCATTACAATATTTAGAATTTAATCCTCTTTACATTGGTCCAGCTCAATGCTTTCATGGATGCAGGATGTGGTTTGTGTGAAACCGCATTACAGAAACAATGATTATAAATTTCTCATCCTTAGGAAACAGCACACTTGGAAATTTATTTGGAAATCTTTCTTGAAGTCAAGTCGTTTTTAAGTTTTTTTCCTATCGATGTGAAAGTTGTTTTTTTCTACTAAAATGGTTGGCATTGCTCATGGAGAACAAGGAGTTCCAATTACTGAAGAACTTGAAACCATCGCAAATGTTACCATTAAATTATCTTTACCAAATATTGGGGGGAGTCATATAGGCTGCCCCGGGCAGCACGTTTTAGGGGGTGGGGTTCGTTGCTCTGTTTGATGATTTAAATTTTAAATGAAAATAATACAAACATTTCATTCTTATCCTAAGTGATTCAAGAGTCTTGCTGCACACTAACACAAATATATTTCTGTAACGTTTCGTCTGACCAAGGTCAGACTTCTTCAGACATACATATTTAAACATGTTGAAAAAATATGCATGTGACTGCTTTTCGTGTTGTAGTTGAATTATGTATGTCTGAAGAAGTCTGACCTTGGTCAGACGAAACGTTACAGAAATATATTTGTGTTAGTGTGCAGCAAGACTCTTGAATCACTTAGGATTGTCATCTCTACTCTTGCTACAGCATCCTTGCAATATATGCATACGGATCCACCGGCACAAAAGCATAGAATAAGGATAGGTAGTTAGTCTCGCAGAAACCAAATAATCAGCGCAAGATTTCATTCTTACATGACCTTCAATTTTTTTCCTCATGTATAAGGACATCTATAATTTGTTTAGCCCCAAATTATATTCGAAGTTAGGTATAAGAAGCGTCCTTATAAAAAAATCGCTCCGGGCAGCAGAAAAATATGACACGCCCTGTACATATCCCTCTATCAGGCCCTCCTTGCTACGTCTATGCTTCGTATACGGCTCAAATATATAGTGTAAATTCATTCAGTCGATTTTATGCACTCGATGAGATGTTCGACAAAGTCATTTGTATTTGATTCCTTTGTTAATCATATGTAATTTGTATTGCGCGATCTTGGTTGTTTAACTATCAATTAGATGGTTCAACTACCGAAGTCCGCCCATGAATAAAAACAGTGCTTCAAAAATCAAGTTGCTGAAACTTGCTAATGTTTATTTAGATACTTGAACCTTGGGTGTCGCTGCTTGATAACCAGCTTTGGTTCCCCGCGGCGTCCCTTCCCCAGTCAAATGTGTTTTCAATATTATTCGTCTGAATATTGCATGTTAACTTTTTTTTTACTGGATAGAAAGAATAAACTTGACTATGACTTTTTTTTTTAATTTTTCAGTTGCCTCAAAAGTTTTCAGCAGTTAAAACAGCTTCAAATATACGATTACATGTTTCGGTGTGATTCGAACACTTTTATTAGATCCGTTAAAATCGGACAGAAATATTATTGTGGCTTGCTCTCTGTGAAACAGGCGTTTGGGCTCAACCATTTCACTGCTATGAACCCTTGTGGATCCGGGATCCGTGTTGTGAATCAGGGAATTTAGCGTGTTTAAACTGGAGTATGAGTTGTATTTTCAATCTCCCCGTAGTCAGAATTCCGAATTCCCTTCAATTAGCGGCCGGAGCCGGAATTTCAGACTTTGAGATTACTAAGCATTGTCAACAATCCGTTATATGTATTTCCTAACAAAGTGTCGGTGTCAAAATTTTTCACCGCGGATTGGGGAGTCGATTGCAAATTTTTTCCAAATCCCCTAATTGCGGACTCCTTTTAATAAAACCAATGACTAAAGTAATGTATAGTCTACGAGTGATATCTAGTGAATACAATGCCTCTCATCAAACCTGATTACAGAAGCCGCATAAAACTTGTAGGATGCTATACGATGGGCTTTGCCGGAAGCCACCCGCATGGATGAACTGCCCAAAAACAAACAGGTTCAAGCGACCCGTTGAACTGGATCAAATGGCAACTCGAAAATTTTCCGATAAGAGTAAGCTTGCTCATTGAAATGAGCATGATTCATCATGTCAACTCTGTAGATTGTATACGGAGGTTTAGTTGGTTGCCTCGCGGGTCTAGAAACCACGACATCCTGAAAGTCTCACATCGTCACGCTAATAACCGAATTGCGTAAGTCATTTTTAGCAGTTTTGAGAAAAACGTAAAAAACTTCCTAATAATATTGTTATGTCATTGAGAGTCAATAATTTGCCATGGTTCAATTTTTTGATCGTATCCGGATTTAAGTTAATTTGTATGACGCAGTTAAGTGACTTCATAATGGCGCACTGTGGCTTAGGCAGAAATGTGTCTATGACTTGGGGACATATGCAATTTTGCAACTTTACTATATGCACCAGTCCTTAAAACTAAACATTCCAAAAACGAATGTAATTCTCAGTATCTACAATGTTCAATCCCCAAAATAGCTAATCAGTTTCAATTACATTATTTTTTATGTTTAAAATATATATTTCATCAATATAACATGCAACCCACCGAAATAAAGACTAAGATCAAATATAAAGAATAAAACAGCAATGCACCCAATATAAAAGCCAACCAAGGTGAATTGGACTCGGACAGTGAATATCACAAATGCACGTCTTCTTATTGGACACGTTTAGTAGACATAACGATCGTTTTGTTGTTATGTTGTTGGACACGTTTAGTGGCCATAACGATCGTTTCAATATTATGTTGTTGTTGTTCTTTGACACGTTTTCAAAAAATCGCTTTTCTCTTCGAATACTGGACCAATTGCTTTGAAATTTTTAGTGGTTGAAGATGAAATTTTTCTCCAGAAGGCTATTACTTTTATTTATTTCAAATAGTTCTGTTATCTGTGTGAGATTTGTTTTTGTTTGCTATGACGTCACCGAACGTTCTGCGCACATCGGACGCCATTTGGTGTCCTACTGTACTGCTTCGCTTGGTGTGAATATATTTGTAGACTGTGATCTGACGGTACGGTAAACCGTACTGTACTGCGAACAGACGTGTCCATATATTTGGACGTAGATCTCTTGTACTGTAGTATAAATTCAAACAAGAGAGCTATGCTCAAATATATGGACACGTATAGTCACATAATTTTGATGACGTCACAGCGAAAAAAAAAGAAATAGCCTTCTGAAGA